GCAGAGAACCCTAAGAAGGCTTTAAGAATGTATGCTGGGCGCACGCGCTATGTGAGATTTTGTTCTACTCATCATCAGGTCGGGCGAATTGCCCGGACCAAGTCCACTCTTACCAAGTCTACTACTGTAACAGTAATATTATGTACTACCCTGCCTACATGTACCTAGTCCTTATTATGATATGATATGAATCTTTATTTCATGTTCTTGCCCATATGGGATAAATGCACAAGAGGATATGCAGTATGCAAAACATGAGTATTGCATACTGGGACGCTATATTCTAATGTTAATTGCTAGGAATTTATACATTATAACAATACTATATACTACCTATCATCTACTGTACAGGCGGTGTCAATCAAGGTTAACGACATTGAGAACATCCAAGGTGTATCTCAAAAGTATTCTGCAAATTGCTAAGAGTGTGGAAGAATTTGGTGACGATTGCAACAGGTACTCAATCAATGTACGTGTACGCCATGTAGAATAAAGAATAGGTTAATCTAAATAGAAATGACAATGGTCATTTTCTTACCTCTTACTGTCAATGTGACAGTCACTTCTTGAGTACCTCCTCTGTTGCTCGCCTGACAGCGGTAGGTTCCATGGTCTGTCCTATCCAGGTTAGTGATGATGAGAGTACTCTCTGTGTACGTGTGTTGATTTGTTCCACCGGTATCCTCAGTGATTGTAACTCCATCACCGTTTGAGATGATTGCTCGGTGGTACCACGTGATGCTCGGTCTTGGATGCCCTGTTGCTGTACAGGAGAAGGTGGCGTCTTGTCCAGCGTTTTTCACAGAATCTTGTGGTGGTTCAGTTATCTGAGTGGGGGCTAGACAGAAGATTTTGATAATGTTACTTCCTGGTGAGGTGAAATATTGTACAATATGTCAGCAGCACAGACAGACACACACACACACACACACACACACACACATATACACATTCGCACACACACACACACACACACACACACACACACACACACACACACACACATAGGCAGAAATACACACACAAACACTTGTATTTTCTACTGCCTGTGTTGAAACTTACCGTCACAATGAAGCCCATCCTGGTTCAGGACATAACCATCATTACAGGAGCAAGTGAAGCTGCCATCTGTGTTGGTACAAAGTTGTTCACATGGACCACGTCCATTGTTGGGGCTGCATTCATTGATATCTGAGGATGAGAATAAAACACAGTCATACTTAACAAGTGTTGTTTTATTCTAATTCTATCAAACAAAAGTGTAGGGAAATTAGTCCATTACAACCTTTGAAATACGTCTTGTTCCAGGAAAATTTTGGATTTGGTGTTTCAGTAGTACTAGATTTTCCTAATCTGTTTTCACCCTGATAGATATTCGTAAGCAGTCTCACCTTTGCTTTTGTAGCTTTTTCAGAGCTCCCTCTGTCTTTTTCATGTTTTAATAAGACAAAAGACAAAATCATATTCAAACAAATAGAATATAATCTAGTGACATGTTCTTACCAGTTTGACAGTTGACTCCTTCCCATCCTGTCTCACAATTACAGCTGTAAAAGTTGACTCCATCCACACACATCCCGTGGGTACATGGGCTGGAGGCGCACTCATCGATGTCTGAAACACAAGGCAAAGGGTACCGATATTTTGTACTGTAACAGTTTACGTATGTAAATTCAAACAAACTAGAACAACGTGAATTGGACTTGTATATATAACATGATGGCTATATAAATATAATCAGATAAGAGTTTATCGATGAAAATCCCCTTACCTCTCTCACAGTTGACTCCTGTCCATCCTGCCTCACAAGTACAGGTGTAAGAGTTGACTCCATCCACACACGTCCCGTGGATACATGGGCTGGGGTTGCAGTCATCGATGTCTGAATTGTAGTATATAAAGTTTGATTTTCATATGTTGTCCTTTTGATAGCAACGTACGCTAATAAAGCAATCTTATATTTTCCAGCAAAATTTATTTCCGGTTAAGTCTATTTTGAGGAAGATATTTATTATGTACGAACTTCTTGGTGAGGTGAAATATTGTACAATATGTCAGCGGCACAGCCAGGCACACACGTGTTATCTTAATTCTATCAACCTAAAGTGTAGGGCAAAATTTAGTTGGTAACAACCTCTCTTTAAATTCCTTGTAGTGCCAGGAAATTTGTGTGTTTTGTGTCATAGTAGTACTAGTAGTAGTGTTTGTAATCTGTTTTCACCTTGATAGCCATTCGTAAGCAGTCTTACCTTATAATTTGTAGCGTGTTTGGGTATATAAGGCCATGTTGATTTGATTATATGGATGGAATCCTCCGGGAGCCCCAAAACTGATGCGCGCGTGCGAATAAAAAAAAGTTTTGCAAAAAAAAGTTCTTTTCATTATGAAATCTACGTGGTCATGAGGGTTGAGCAAATGACACAGAATATGGTTTGGCGAATAATCTAGTCTTCAAGTTCATTTCTTTACAATTTCGTCTTTTTTCGTTTGATTTTGGCATTGCACGACATTGATATAGTTTTTATTGATTTTTTTTGTAACTTATGGTATATTTTTGCTCATTTTGCAACTGTTTTGTACGATTTACAGTATGGTTGAAAACTTTTTTTTTTTTGGAAACGGCCGAAAATTCATTCGCGCGCGGATGTCATCCATATAATCAAATCAACATGGCCTAATCTGTAATATTTGGAAGTTGGTAGGTCCCAGTCCTATTACTTCACCACGGATACTTGGGTATCATGTTGTGTTTACTTATGCTAATAAATTTGTTGTGATCTTAAAGGGTGGTATCATCATATTTTTTTCAGAACGAAACTTAAGAGCTTAATCTGATATTATTCCATGTTTTCATGTTTATTATTCCATGTTTATGCTTCCAATAAAATTAAATAGACCAAGTAAGTCAATATTCAATCAAAAAGAATATGATCTAGTAAACATGTTCTTACCATTTTGACAACATTAGACAACAAGGAACACAATGCATCTAAAACAACTTGACGTGGATGAATGAGCAAGAGATGTTGGTAGTGGGTAATGACTGGTCCCTTACCTGTCTCACAGTTGACACTTGTGTATCCTGCCTCACAGGTACAGGTGTAAGAGTTGACTCCATCCACACACATCCCGTGGGCACCACATGGGCTGGAGGCGCACTCATCGATGTCTGAAATACAAAACAGAACATGATGTTAATATTGTGTCTTTTTAATACGCTAATTAAGCAACTTTATGTTTTTCACCAAAATATCACTTATGTATAAGTCTGTTCTGAGCCACCTCCATGCCGAAAGCACGGGGGTTGATTCTGATATATATTACTGACAGTAATACCATAAGCCTATTATCGATTGATGTCGTTGTTAGTGTTCGTATCTCTCTTAGATGTCCATTGTCCATTAGTGTTCGTATACGATAAGTCAAATGCACAGAATATTGGTACGAATTTTGAAAGGGAAATGGACCTTGTATTTCTCATTGCATTTCCCATACGATCTTATAAAGACACGGGCCTTCGAAAGTTCTTTCAATCATAAGATTTAATCATTTTGTACAAGGGCAGAGTCAATCTTCAAACACATGATTATAATTAGAAGTTTAGTAATATTGGAAACGCTCGATAAAATACTGCTAGTGACTGACGGCTAACAACACGGTTCCGTAAAGTCGAATGACAGAAATCGAAGTGATTTTGCCAGAATGCCCTAAACAAAAACCAGAGTATGTCGAAAATTGGTCTATATATATATAGATATCTATATCTATCTATCTATATATATATATATATATATATGTGTGTGTGTGTGTGTGTGTGTTTTGATTAAAATGTTAAAACTCTGCAATATCAAATCTTAGCAACATTTAATACTATCCTTCTACAGCTGCCAACCAACCTACTAAACCAACAAAGAAATGTGTGATTTGCTTGTGCCATGTTTATGTTTAGACAGATAGACGATGAAAATTCCCTTACCTGTCTCACAGTTGTCTCCTGTCCATCCATCCTCACAGGTACAGGTGTAAGAGTTGACTCCATCCACACACGTCCCGTGGGTACATGGGCTGGAGGCGCAATCATCAATGTCTGAAATACAAATAAAAGTATGCAGGAATGGTTGTATATAATATTCTTTATTTGCTTTACATTTACGCAAATTCAAACAAACATGAATACATCAAAACGATTGCTTGGTGTATGCAGCAACCCAAGGAAGTACGATTTGGGTATCAACGGGACAGCTGTAAGCAGAATACAAACAGTGTCACTATCAGATGACGATCAACTTGAAATGGTCAGAAATTGTCAACGATGTTGATAGCTTACCTGTGTCACAGTTGACTCCTGTGTATCCTGCCTCACAGGTACAGGTGTAAGAGTTAACTCCATCCACACACGTCCCGTGGGTACACGGGCTGGAGGCGCAATCATCAATGGCTGATTCACACAAAACAAAAGGGGTACGGTGTTTAGTTTTGATGCACTTGAGAGTCTTGATCCCTATATTGTTCATAGACTAGTATGTTTGAAGGGTCTCTGAGAATCTCAATTCATCAGAAATATGTACCTTTGCTTTGCTTGACGAGCAGCACCTTACCAATGTAAAACTAACCTGTAACTCTTCAAAAATCCAATTGATATTTCTATTTTTGGGATGAGTGACTTTCAGCTATTTATGATATCATGGCTATCCTGTTGAAGGTTCAACCCCTGAGCTTCACGTAATGAAGTTTATCACCAACCGGCTTGTTCACAGAACGTCAATTCCCAGCCTGCTGGACAGGTACAGGTATAGACTCCAGTTCCCGGTGTTTCTTCAGCCATGGTGCCTCCATTCTGACATGTGTTAAATGAAGAGGCTGTGGAGAAGGTAGTAACAGCAACTATTAATAATAGACAATGCTTATACACACGTACATGACAATTACGTTCATTTTCCTATACTTTACAACAATTGTAGCAGAATAACAACAAAATACAGGTGTGTGCATCAGAGCTTTTAGATCTTGTACTTACCTGGGAAACCGCTCGGCCTGATCATCATGACTGTTTTCTTCAGTGAGTATCCGTAGCCTAGCCAGTTTTTCCACACAATCCCCTGAGCGCTGGTGCAGCTAGAGCTAGAGCTGCATCCAGTCAGATACTGTCCGTTTAACAAGGCCAGACCACAACTCGGCGGAAACCACCAGCCTGATGGGCCGAATGACGCTCCACAGTTGACGGAGTTGGCGTCGTTATCTTGATCCTTTGTTGTAAACATTTTACCGTTGATGCTGTGATGTGTACTTGTGGGAGCCAAGTCATCAGTTAAAGTCGGATCCCCGGTGTAGTCGCTGATTGTAGCCGTGTATTTACTGGTTGAATCTCCCACAGCAAACGTGCTGTACCGCGCGTACTTAGTGTTACCTTCCCAGTCTTCCAAGTACACATACAGCTCGTGCTGCTGCTGTGACGTTAGACTGTGTAAGTGTTCAAGTCCTATCCATAGTTCTCCGCTTACGTCACCGAATCCCTGCACGTACACGTCCCACGTGTTGTCGAACGACACCGACCCGTCCTGGCGCCGCTGTATGACCGTCCACCCACCGCCATCAGTGTCCATGTCACAGGAGACTTGGAATGGCTGAGGGTGGCCGACATGGTAAGTACCGCTGGTCTGGATTCCCATGGCTGACAGATCGGCACAGTTCTGTGGCGTAATGGTACCTGGGGAAAGACGGAATATGAGATTCGAGACGGTCACAAATGCAATGCAGGACAATCTATCAATTTTTTTCAATGCTTTCATATAAAGACAATACACTGAATGCGCTGAAACTAAGGTTCAAGATTTGATCAAAAGTGATAAATCAAAAATAAAAAGTGAAAGGAATAATGATATTCTGTTCAATCCCTAAAGATCCTCGTTAAATGCTTCGGTTACTGTTGGATAGTACATAATGTGAACAGTTGCATACCTGTGTACGTGTCACAAGAGTCTCCCTCCCAGCCCGGATCACATGTACAGCTGTAGCCGTTTGCTTGGTTCGTGCACAACCATTGGTGGAGATCAATGCAGGGGTTGGGAATACAGAATTCTGTGGAACAAGGGAAGAAGGGTTAGTGATATTGTTTGTAGACATCACTATGCGTACATTTGGAGGTCATTTGTAGAATTATAGACCAAATGTTGAAATGGAATTCTGCCAAAGGAAATGACTGTCACATATGCGTGTAATGTAGACAATAATAAAAAAAAGTTTATATGAATATTTCGTGTAGTTCTCCGAACTCTTGTTTTAGTATTATTCCATGCACAAAAATAAAGTAGAAATTATCGACGAATGCATGCCTTTGATGTCACGCTATCAGCAAGTCAATTGCCTAGTGGCCACATTGTATTGCCCTGTTGCAATAAGTCATATACAGCCTGACTCCATACTACGCTTTGATTTTAAAAAAACCTGAGTAAGAATATACAACATGTTTCTATTGCTTTGATTTAAGACATCAAAATCAGTTGAACCTATCTACCGTTCCGTTGGTAGTGATCAAATCTTGTGTTGGTATCTAGTGGTTGTCCGGCTGTGTTCTGGTTGTCACTGCTCAACAGACACCGTGGGTTGTTATTGTCCAGGTCAAAGGACAGACAGGACCCAACTGAGAGGCTCCCTTCTCCCAGCAGACACCGCAGTGCGCATGTCCGGGGACTCACAGTCGGTGGGGTGACAATAACGTCATCGTGGCTGCCTAGGGCCTGATCGGCGTGTTCAGAGAAGAAACTGGCGATATCTGTGAAAATAGGTGTTCGTAAGTTGAGATGATAAAAAAAATTTTCGACAATTTCTCTTTTATGGTGCATGGTTGCGTACGGGGAATTTGAGTGTCTAGTCATAGGGTATGCACCCTTTAGGGCATCCCCCTACCCTTTTTATGAATTTAAACTGATAAAAATCACAGGCTTTGATATTACTTATTATATATGGTCTTTCTTATTATATAAGTTTTCCTCTCTACCATATGGAATAAAACATTTGATCTTCTGGACCAGTATATTGGAGAATCACCTCTAAGCCGTTATAGACATGGTCTACTTTTGCTCTGTACTCTACTTCTGTACAGTTGCTCTGTACCGAAAATGACCTCTATGTGCTAATTATTGCAATTGTTAGACCGATATATCTGATAAGTAAATTGTGAGTCAGTAAAAGTTGTGACCTTTCATCTCGTAATGGTCGAACTGACTGTTAGAACCAAGTGTCTCTCCAGCTGAGTCCTTGTTGTCTCTACTCAGCTGACATCTGGTACGTGACTTCCAGTAGTCAAACGACAAACACTCCCCCTCTGGCACGGTAGTGGTTCCTTCTAGGCACCTCTGGGCACATTCTTCAGGGGTGATATCGCTGATGAGGTCGTTATCATGGCCCTCCAACACTTTGTTTTCATTGTGGTCAAATAGGTCTGTGAAGTCTGTAAGCATATACACACAAAAATATATACATAACGGTTAGTACATACATATGAATATGATATAAATTGATATATATTTCTACATATGTACAATGAAAACATGCATGCAACATTACCATGCGCCGTGTCTACAGTTATCTTTCTGGTTTGTGACAGGCAATATTTTTAGACATCCGTAATAAAGTGTTAGAGGATGAAGTTGGTCTGCTAGACCGTGACCTGTCTGCCGCTATGGAGGGATATCAGTGGTGTTACTACGGCGCCTTTGAATAAACTTAACTACTACATGTATTTTCCAGCACCTTGAAGAAGTATCTATAATGTGTTCGATGTCTCTGGATTCTTTTCAAACACTTTACGTTAAGTCTAGAAACCAATCAATTCATTTTAATTTTAGTCAAATAAGAAACTCCAATCATTATGGCACAATATAGGAACCTTTCAGGGTTCGAAACCTGGACCAATTGAACCTCGACATATGAATCACTAGCCCACATATTCCACCATGCAATAAGATATACTTTCAGAAACATGGAATGGGTTATGGTAAACTCGTTGTATTACGTGGTTATTTTGAGTTACAGATGAATTGCTACAACGGAAATTTAGTGTACCACTCACCTGCTTTTGCGAATGCGCAGAAGATGAACAGAAAAACAACTGTTCCTTCAGGAAACGGTCGACGTTTGGTGACACGTACATGTACCTGTAAATCTCTCATCTTCATGTACGTTTGTCACATTTCACCTACTCAGTAAGTTGCCAAAGTAACTTGATATGTGCAAGTATGTTCCACCGTGCCTCTAATTTTAATGGGCTTACTTCCTCCTGAGGTGTGTGTAGTGCGCCTGCGCGGCGACACAGCAAACAATGACGCCCTGAACTAAGTAAATCATTAATCCAGCAGTAACAATATTGAGCTCAAGCAAACACCGACCCTCACCGTGCCTTGTCACAGGTGAATGATATAGGGTTAATGACCCGCCCTGAGGTGTATACGGTGTGATAATCCATGGTCGGTTCCCAGATCCTATAACCACCAGATGAAGGACTTGGTCGTTTATGAGGTTTTAATCCATCTATGCGGTTGTCCCAAACAATACCTCAAATTCATCTAACGACAACTCGGCGAGTTCGAGGTGGAATTGCGGTCCTTTATCCATTTTTATGTCAGCAGCAAAAGCAACGTGACCAAGGAGCGCCGAGCGGCCAAAATGGCCATGACGGCTGTTTTGAAAAGTATCGTGTGATTTTTTGAGTGCAGTACCAAGTGTAGAATAGGAGGGTCAGTATGTCGAATATTAATGACCTGGGTTATGGGAGGAATGGAACCTACGGTTTGTCGACGTCATCTGTCTATATGATAATGTACATTAAAAATACTAATATGAAATGATAATACAAATATTTTGATAGGCCCAGTTTATAATTAGACCCTATAGGTAAGGGAGCCAATAGTGTTAAGGATAAATGGGCAAAGGGGGCAATTAAAAATCAATTCATAAACGCATGAAAACACCTCCCAGAACGGTGCAGTTCACAATCATTGGGACTACGTCGTTTGTCAAAGTGGTTGACTAGGTGACTGCGTTAATGATTCACTTCACCTAACATATCATTGTCGACACACAGTTTGGCGTCTTACTTTGCACCGCGGTACCCTAAGTAGTATTGTTTGCTGAATGACCTTTAAACATTCATCGATCGAATAACGTATAATTCATCCATTTCAAATAGTTAACAGTTATTTTAGAAAATATGGCATAGGGAACTAACAAGGGTTGAATGAGCTTTGAATCGGCATATAATCTACTGTTTGAAGCTATAACAGTGTTGCCATCAAAACAAGACCCCCGAACGTCATGAACTCATGAAAAGCAGCTTAAGCCGAAGACTTTTTCTCAGTACATTTAACGATTAAATGATGTTGAAAAACGGGCGTGTGCACTTTTAGTACATCAAAAGCCCCGTCAATTTACACAGTTCCTCAACTAGTCACAAGGGTCATTGATTACTCAATACCATGAATCACTATACATAACCAGGTCATGTGGGGGACAAAGTTGAAGGGGCAGATCCAAATTCGTTGTGGGAGGGGGTTCTCTTCTGGTTGAAATTGCTGAATCTAGATTCATCCAAATGATGTACGTAAGGCCACAATGGAGCCATAATGTGCTTGCCTTCGATGAACAAACGTCAAATGTTACGGCACAGTACAGATTGTACAGTTTATTGTAGTTGGCTACAAAATTATTTGTATAGGGATTGCGTAACATTTAGACATTTAGCACGGAAGCTGAACTTCTATTCATAAATGGCAAATAGTGTCAAATGTTGTCTATTCAAAGCTATAATAAGCACATATGTACTTGGACACGTTTAAGTATTCAAACGAAAGACACTCGGTAAGAAATCTGTAAACTGGTTTATTAAAAGCAATATATGAATTAAGGTACAGAAGTATCAAACATAACCGAAAGTACATTTAGATCTGAAAAAGACCACCAGTATAGAAATGTCTATGTTAAGATACGTGATATGAAACCTATATCAACCTGTCTGACAATAGTCATTCCAAATATCACATCATTGTCGGCTTAAATTCATTATCATAAAAGTCCAGCTATTTTTTTGTATTCACATATATTTATTGAGTATTGGGCAAAAAGCATAAGTTGCTTATATAACACCCTCTACTAAAAGCATAAAACGAGAGTAAAACACATTGACAAAATACAATACGCATAATTACAAGGTGGGTATATATGCTCCAAACGATATAATCCTCCAACTATTATCACAGTGCGGCTTTTAGAGCTCTGGCTTATCAAAAGTACATGTTTTATAACGATAATTAGTAGTTTGAGGTGGTGTCTTTCTGAATAGTAAAATTTTGAATTAATTTATATTCATGGATCGTACAATGCTAGTACTGTACTCAGAAATACTTTCTTTATTTCCTGAATGTTTTTCAGGACCTCAACGTAATTCGACCTACGTATATACAGCTTTCTTGTTATATTTCGATTTCAAATGGGTCCGTGCAGCACTACTTCAAAAGGGAAGCATACGTCTGAAAATTAAAAACGAAAAGATCATTTCATTCATCCTCAAATATTTCCTATAGATTATTGACATACTTAGTGATAACAAATTTCAAAGAAAACGGAATTCAATAAACATGTGCATATTGACACAATTGAGTTTCCTGATTGTTTGCTTATATCAGGGATCGTGCTGTATTTGAAAGAACCAAGAATCCAAAAAGAAAACAATGCTACATCCCTGCAACAGAAATAGTTAGTGTATAAGTATCGTGCAAAAGTCATACCTTGTAGCCTTGCATAATCCTGATGAGACTTGATCTCAGTTCAGGAAAAGTCGGTCTGTCTTCTGGAAGCGTCTCCCAGCAACTTTTCATCAGGGTGTAGCTACAAAAGATTATAGGAAAGGTGTTCATGATGTTCTACATGCTGAAGTAAGTACATACATATATCTCCTGTTGAAAATTTAAGGTACTGAGGACGTGTCCTACTTAATTGTATCCTTTGGATTTACAGCTCTAAGTTCATGGTGTTTTCATTGTATATAGTAGTGACAGATTTCCTTCGAGCCCAGCTATAGCTACATTTGTTATTCAATTTACAATAGTTATTATGTACATAAAGAATACGATTTGTATCATAACATACATCTCAGCAGGACAGTTGCTTGGCTTTTTCAGCCGGCCGCCATCTTTGATCATGTCCATCATCCTTTTGCCCTTCATCCCCTCATACGGAAGGTTGCCTGTAGGACATTTTGTAATATGACGCATATATATCAATCCTCCATATAATCAAAAGCCGTAGTTTATGAAAATTATCAGGGCAAACGAAGTTAAGTGTGAACCGTATTTCGACATCTAAAATCAAAAGAAGGTAAAACTATCTAATAAACAGCAGGTATATAAAACAAATGGTACTTACCCATTGCCATGATCTCCCAAAGAAGAACTCCAAAGGACCAGCTGTGTATGTAATACAATGAAGTCAAATAGATTACGAGGCGTTATGGAGTTTCTTTTGCAGATCTGATTACATTCTATTATTATAACGTTCCATATGACAACAGCTGGTAGAGCTCAGTGATTGTTACTTGAAGCTGGCAATAAACAAAGCGACTGTCTATTAGAAACAACGTATTTTCAGGGTTAAGACTCATACTCACACGTCACTCTGAATTGTGTACACATTGTAGAAAAGGGACTCATAGGCCATCCATCGCAACGGTAGCTTACTCTGAAATCGCGTACACATGTCAATGTTATTTTGAAAAAATGGGCACAGGTGAAATGAATCAATGTGTGGTCAATCCAGCTTTTATTGTTACTAGCAGTGTGATTTCCTACCTTTGTGCTTTTGACGTACTCACTGTCCTCATAGATGTCACGTGACAGGCCAAAGTCAGACACCTTAGCGACGAGATTTTCTCCCAGAAGGATGTTTCTGGCTGCCAAGTCACGATGGATACACTGTAGGAAAACAATTTCTTTAATTAACATAATCCAATTTTTAATAGGAAAATAGTTTACAAGTGGTTGCATGATTTTTATCGTGATAAGCTAACGTCGTGTGTTGTTCTCCACTCACAAACTCAGTCATGTATTTACATGCACTTATTTACAATCAGTGAGACTAAACATAATTTAGTGAATATTTGGAAGAACGTGCCTGCATGGTAGCGAGATGGCTCATCCCACAGGCCACATCGACACCGAACTGGATGAGTTGTTCCATGGACAGATGAGAAGGGTTCGCAGGCTGGTTCTGGTAGGCTAGATCTGTGCTGTTCTCAGCAGAGTTGGTCTTCAGCCAGTCCTTCAGACAGCCATTAGTGGCGTACTCAACCACTATCATCAAAGGTCCTAAAATTGGCAGGTAAAATGGATGTATCTAAAGACCCTAGGTACATTTTGATTGAGAATTCTTGTCTGTATTGGGCAACAGGTATATCTGCCTTACAGGCCTGAAATAAATAGTACCTTTGCTTGCAGTAGATATAAGTATTATATATAACAAATTGTATCCTAATCGTTAGTTGAACATCCACAGCAAATGGACAACATAGTTAATTAGCTACCTCCTTTTGTGCACGCTCCAACCAGAGAGATGATGTTGTCATGACGACCAACAGTCACCAGGATCTCCAGTTCACCCAGCAGGTCTTTCTTGTCTGACTCTGACGCCGAATCTGTGATTTAAAGAAATGTTTCGTAGCATTTCAACGCTATTAGTGAAATAAAGATAGATAACATGATCCACTTAATAAGTAGATCATGGCATATGACGAAATATTATCGTGGTAAATGCTTGTTGATGCAAATTGACAGAAATCACTTTCTTTTTTGTCGTTACAGAGGATTTACCTTTTTGTATCTGTGACTATGTAACATTTCGATATGTATATGATCACAGAATGGTTGGTTCCTGACAGAAACATCATGATGACAGAAAAATTAAGGAGATCTTACCCCTCAATGTTTTGACAGCTACGATGGTTGTCAGTCCTCGATTACGGAGTTCTCCCAGTCGCACCTCCCCGAACTGGCCGCTGCCGAGACGTTTGCCGAGCTTCAAGCTTGTCCTCTGGATCTCCCAGAAATTCAGGGCTGTAACTGGAGACTCCTGTGGTAGTTTGGATCATAAAGTACGTGATATGATTGCATGGAAGACTTTCTTGAGACTATGGCATAAGGGTCTCACAACGGTAGTGCAACAACAACAATCATAAAAAGCAAAAATGCTTACATTTTCCTGCTTCAAAGTCACCAAAATGCCTTTAAATCGTGCTCTTGGTCCAGCCTTTGGAATGAGATCCTTTAGTATGGCGTCGTCGAGGAACTTCAACGCATCTCCATCGACATCGTGGTCTTAACATGAAATGCACAATACCATCTCATCATCATCCGGCACACTCTTTACAAAGTTGGAGTACATATCATATACATCTTGTCATACATACTACATATCACGTCCGTCTATTACCATTAATATCATTAAATAAAGATAGCTACAATGCTTAGACATTTACACCAGATATCCACATACCTCTGAAAGCGTTGGCGTACTCTCCAAAATTGTTCTCTTTCAGGTATTTTGTGACGTCATCTACAGTCCTGATGTCAGAAAATCGACGATAGCACTGAAACAAAAATGTCAGGCTGTATTAGTCAAACTTTCAACACAGCGAGCGTTATAAACAAACAATAATTGGCATCAAGTATATGCTAATAAATTGGAACTTAATGACTATCAATACCTTTGACTTGATTTCATCCGTGGAAAATGCTTCGTTATCCGCTCCCTTGATGTCTAAATCCTCCTCACTTGTTATGTTACTAAGTGGAACATCGTTTGTTTCTGTCGTGGATTCCTTCTTACTTTTCAAATATTTTCGCCTGAAATAAAGACGATGTCAGTATGATATGCATATGGAGACTTTCATATATGGATTACAGCGATAAGATAACCACGTTGACAATAATACAATGCTCAAAAATTCTGGAATAAACACATCGATATTTAAAAACCGTTAAAACCTTTTTTCGTGGGGTTTCTTATAAATAAAGTGATCAAATCAATCAAGTTCGTGTTGCAAAAGTTCAACACTCTCACATGGATAGCTTCGTACCTGTAAAACATAAACCCGGCTCCAGCTGCAAAACTGGCGATGACTGCGGCAACCACCCCGACAATGATAGCAACCAACGGCAAAGCTTTTTCCAAAACTAAAAGAAAAGGCCGATTAACAGAGAGTACTGACACTCAAATAAACCCATGATACTCGAAATAAAAACACAATATACATATTGTAAAATATATGTGGTTTTGATGAAAAAAATACTTCACCTGTAATAATCGGTTGCATGAACAAACTTGTCATATGGGTCTGTGAGGGAAGAAAAACAGATTTTATTTTGGTATTGTATCTTGATTGCTTACATGTATTGTGATACAGTATGATTAAGAAAACCAAAAGAAATTACGGTATTTACCTGTGAAGCTGTTCTATGACGTGCGTCCTCATCAGGGTCCACGTACGCACGAAGAGTTGCACTTTTTCTCTTTCTCCCCTCAGTGGCACCCACGTAGGCACGGATGACTGTTGTGTAGGTAGACCCTGGTGTCAGTTTCCTGTTACCTGGTTCTGGTGCTCCCTGTACTACACCTCTCTTACAACACGTGTCTTCACAGGGTTCACCAGATCCTATTGTCACTTCTGATCCTTCTTGGTAGCTGGACCTGTGTCCATGTGAGCAAACAATCATATCAAAAAGAAGAAATTATTGTGACAAATATATTGGTATAACATTACATCTTTTGTTTTGGGAGTGTTTCAATTCATGCAGGTTTGTAGTATATGTTGATATCTTATGATATTCTTATATAAAAACGGCAGTTTATTGCAATGCGTACCCTGAGTAGGCGAGTGTGATGTACGGCTCTGTTTTTCCGTCCTCCAGTGCAGAATCCGTTAGGACGTCCTGTGGCTGTCCAACCCTGTCAGTCAGGTCATCTAGTGTTTCACCGTTCCGCATTGGTACAACTATGACTTGGTAACAGCTGGGTGAAAAAAAGACAAGTAAGTTGTCTGATATGAATTATCTCCAGTACTTCAGGAGAACACGGATCAAATTTATAATGATTTTACTTTTCTGTGTATTCTACTTATACGCAACACCCATACCTTATACGTCCATTTCGCTCGCTTATGCCGGGTAACAGGATGGTGAAGGTACTGGAAGTTAACGTTGTCTCTTCAGCAGTCACATTCGGGACCATATCTGGTGGCTCTTTAAGAGATGTAATAGACAAATGATTAAACCAAAAGATGATGTATCGGTCCTCGAGTCTTTACTATTTTAATTAAAAGGGATAGAATAAATAACAGCATGGCAGCTCGCTCACCTATCCTCTGAACTGTGCAGCTTACAGTCTCGCTCCTTTCTCCCTCCGCACAGGTTTGAGCCTGGACGGTGACGTGGACCAATGAGTAGGCGGGAAGAGCTGCTAAGGACTCTGTCCAGGTTAGGTCTGGTACTTCTGACGTCATGACAGGCTCAGCCTCAACGTCAATTATTGAGCCTGTGTCCAGCCTGGTGGCAGTAACTGCAACCTAAATAACACAATCAGGACAGACTGTTTGTTTTGGTACAAACATACTCCGTATGCTCTGTATTATGTAATTTGTTCCAATTTCCGGACACACTTGAACAAACCGAGCCTATTTTTCTTTTTTGTCTTTCATTAATCCAGTAATCAATCAGATCATAATTCTACGCGCCAGTACAGCACAGTTAGTAATTTACGAATGATTCTATGAACAGATGATGTATATTATAGCCCATAATATACATCATCTTGCCCATCTGGGCAAGAACATGCAATAAAGATTCATTAACATTATATTCAATTCATTAATATAACTAAAATTCCATACAAACATGGGATCATAAACTAGAAGTGTACCTTGTAGTTGCTGAGATTCCCATTAGTGACATTCGGCAGAGACCAGCTGACGGTACACGTGCCATCGCTCTGGTCAGCTAGAAGATTCAGAGGTGGTCCTGGGCCTAAGAATTTGATTAAAATCAGTACGTTTCGACATATCATGAAGGAACACATTACATAAAACGTGCAACTACAAGTACTGGTTCAGTTATAAGGTCTAAGCAACCTTTGATGTTAAACAATGCATGATAATCAAAATAATCAATGCAAAATAATCATGAAGATGCTTAGTTTTGCCAAGGGTTAAGTTCATAAACATGAAAAACATTTATTGAGGATATTGTCCCCCATATCCTTACATCCTTCACTGGTCTCCACTGTAAACACCTCGCTGTCCTCTCCTTGGAAAAGCAAGTTGTAAGCAATGACCTGAAGTAACAAGCAATAGCGTTAGAGACTTTATAGCCCAATATTGATGAATCATCATTATTGTACCTTATCTACCTTATATGAAAAATGATAAATAAGACAAAGAAGTAACTTTGTTACAATGTTGTCTTTATATCCTTGTCAATTGCCAACTTGGTGTGGCTTTTGCAAGGTGCCATGAATAAATAGACACGTCAATTTGGATACATATTGAATAGCAAACTTAGGCTACTTCGCAATATCATAACAAAGTCACCTTTATTGAATACGTCTTGTAAGGTTGAAGGTTAGATATCTCTTTGGGACTGCTGGCAGCCTCGATAGTTGTCCAAGTTCCATCCTCAGTGGAGTATGACAGGCGATATCCTAGAATCTTCCCGTTTGGGTGTTCAGGTGGATCCCAGGAGACTCGTACTGTGGACCTGTCGGTCTGGCTGCCGGAGACACAGGAACAGGGACCGGTGTTTTCTGCTATCATGGCTTGAGGTGGACTTGGAACTGTACAAAAATGGATGGATTTCCAGCATGATAGTGATTACACAAGACAAGTATGATGACCAATGTTGATGATTTTATCTAATCTTATTGCAAAGAAATACATGAATTGATTTCTGAAAAATAAATTGTACGTTTACATGTGTAACTTAAACAGTATGTCAATTTTACATCTATGGATAGGCATATATATCCTATGCATACATTGCTTAAGCAACATTGCCATAATCATAATAATGGCAAAATAGTAGTTTTATATCTTACTGTATTCGAACAGGAACGTTATGTCTGCCACCTGCCCAGGCCCTCCCGATGTCACACCCCAGACATTCACGGTGTAGTTCTTATCTGTTTCCAGGTCGTTGATCATGATGTTGGTAGAGTTGCCATTTGTTGTGAACGGAGAACTTTCTGAAGTCTCGTCTGTCCTTTTGTAAGTAACCATGTAGTGAATTATGATGCCTTTAGGTTTAATGGGGTCGGGCGGATCCCACATAACCTTCACCTCGGTAGCAGAGATCCCTTGTAGGCTAAGGTTTTCAACCCTGCCTGGTGCTGAAAGAAAAATCGCAGAGATCTAGATTTCAGAACTGTATGTGTAGAAATTTAGGGTCAAATGAACTTAACGCATGCTACAGCTCTACAAAATTATATTTTTGGTCCAAGCATTTTTGGTGATATTTGACGTCAAAGACTATTTGACCAGATAGATATATGACCAGAAAATGTACTTTTTGGGTCATCCTAAAGTTACATAATGTAGACTAGGGATCGTTGACCAGCAATACCTAACAATTCAGTATGAAATACCTGCTTCAGCTGTCCAAACATGTGCCACAGGTGAATCATCGCTGTACCCCAGGTCATTCTTTATGGCAACTTTGACTTCGTACAGGGTGAACGGATCTAGTCCGGTGATGTCATAGTTGGTGTTTGGAGTTTCTGTCATGATGCTGTTCCATTGTTGCTCCCTAATGTCACGGTACTGGATGCGACTTCCGGTGACAGGTAGATTCCCCAGGTAGGCCGGGAGAGACCAGGTGCACATGACGGTAGTAGTAGTCAAGGTCAAGCCACTGTTCACCGTTGGAGGGTCTGGTCTCTCTACATTACAAAGCGTGGATATACACAAATGGTTAGACAGCAAATTGATGGTATTTTACAAAGACTATAATGCATTCTATATAATAGATTTTTATAATAATCAGTACGTAATATAAAATATTATTCCAATACGTAAGGCCACACCAAGTAAATTTTAAGGATGACGTCCGCGCGCGCATTGATTTTGGCCTGTTCCTAGAAAAAAAAAGAAATTCCGCTTCCTGTAACTATGACCAAAGAGTCACGACAGCGCTTTGTTTCTGCAAGCCTGCAATAATGTGATGAAAGAAACAGGACAGGATGACAACTGCTATTCCACCTGATTTATTGCTGTTTTGATGATGAATAAAAGAATTCCTTCTTGTTACACTGTCATTCAATTTGTGTCCTAACATTTGTCGTCTCTTAGTATATTTCTAATCTTGTTTTTTAGGGCCCTTTTTGTTTTGTTTTTTCGCCCTCTCGCATTAGATTTATGGTCTCCAAAGGACGTCATCCATAAAATTTACTTGGTGTGGCCTAATATAAAGTCTTATTCCAATATACATGTATATAGCTAACTGTGACCATGAGATACTCGGTCATCTACCGCACAATCGCTATGCCACGTATATCCATTGATCTTATAGTATCTCACGGCTTATTGCCGAAATCAATTAACGCGCTAGTTAGGCAGAGATCACTAAGAAGGCTTTAAGAATGTATGCTGGGCGCACGCGCTATGTGAGATTTTGTTCTACAACTGTAATAGTAATATCATGTACTACCCTGCCTACATGTACCTAGTCCTTATTATGATATGATATGAATCTTTATTGCATGTTCTTGCCCATATGGGCTAAATGCACAAGAGGATATGCAGTATGAAGAACATGAGTATTGCATACTGGGACGCTATATTCTAATGTTAATTGCTAGGAATTTATACATTATAACAATACTATATACTACCTATCATCTACTGTACAGGCGGTGTCAATCAAGGTTAACGACATTGAGAACATCCAAGGTGTATCTCAAAAGTACCCTGCACATTGCTAAGAGTGTGGAAGAATTTGGTGACGATTGCAACAGGTACTCGATCAATGTACGTGTACGCCATGTAGAATAAAGAATAGGTTAATCTAAATAGAAATGAGAATGGTCATTTTCTTACCTCTTACTGTCAATGTGACAGTCACTTCTTCAGTACCTCCTCTGTTGCTCGCCTGACAGCGGTAGGTTCCATGGTCTGTCCTATCCAGGTTGGTGATGGTGAGAATGCTCTCTCTGTACGTGTGTTGATTTGTTCCACCGGTATCCTCAGTGATTGTAACTCCACCACCGTTTGAGCTGATCCCTCCATGGTACCACGTGATGCTCGGTCTTGGATGTCCCTCTGCTCTACAGGAGAAGGTGGCGTCTTGTCCTGCGTTTTTCACGGAATCTTGTGGTGGTACAGTTATCTGAGTGGGAGCTGGACAGATGATGGTTGTTCAAGAATTAGGTTATGTAACTAACTGGTGAGGTGACAAACAAACACACACACACACACACACACACACACACACACTGACACACATACACACACACACACACACACACACACACACACACACACACACACACATACACACATACAAGTGTACACATGTATTCTTCTGTCTGTTTGATCCTTACCGTCACAATGTAGCCCATCCTGGTTCAGGACGTAACCATCATTACAGGAGCAAGTGAAGCTGTCAGGTGTGTTGGTACAAAGTTGTTCACACGGACCACGTCCATTGTTGGGGCTGCATTCATTGATATCTGAGGATGAGAATAAAACACAGTCATACTTAACAAGTGTTGTTTTATTCTCATCATCATCATCGGTCGACCGTATTGGTCGGGGTTATACCGCCCCTTACGAGGTGGCATACCCTTTCGTTAGCTTAATACAAGACGGGGTTCGCCACGCCTCCGTCCGGGTGATGATGTTTTATTCTAATTCTATCAAACAAAAGTGTAGGGCAATTAGTCCATTACAACCTTTGAAATACTTCTTGTTCCAGGAAAATTTTGGATTTGGTGTTTCAGTAGTACTAGATTTTTCTAATCTGTTTTCACCCTGATATAGACATTCGTACGCAGTCTCACCTTTGCATCTGTAGCTTTTTCAGAGCTCCCTCTGTCTTTTTTTATGTTTTAATAAGATAAAAGACAAAATCATATTCAAACAAATAGAATATAATCTAGTGACATGTTCTTACCAGTTTGACAGTTGACTCCATCCCATCCTGTCTCACAATTACAGCTGTAAAAGTTGACTCCATCCACACACGTCCCGTGGGTACATGGGCTGGATTCGCACTCATCGATGTCTGAAACACAAGGCAAAGGGTACCAATATTTTGTACTGTAACAGTTTACGTATGTAAATTCAAACAAACTAGAACAACGTGAATTGGACTTGTATATATAACATGATGGCTATATAAATATAATCAGATAAGAGTTTATCGATGAAAATCCCCTTACCTCTCTCACAGTTGACTCCTGTCCATCCTGCCTCACAAGTACAGGTGTAAGAGTTGACTCCATCCACACACGTCCCGTGGATACATGGGCTGGGGTTGCAGTCATCGATGTCTGAATTGTAGTATATAAAGTTTGATTTTCATATGTTGTCCTTTTGATAGCAACGTACGCTAATAAAGCAATCTTATATTTTCCAGCAAAATTTTATTTCTGGTTAAGTCTATTTTGAGGAAGATATTTATTATGTACGAACTTCTTGTTGAGGTGAAATATTGTACAATATGTCAGCGGCACAGCCAGGCACACACGTGTTATCTTAATTCTATCAGCCTAAAGTGTAGGGCAAAATTTAGTCGGTAACAACCTCTCTTTAAATTTCTTGTAGTGCCAGGAAATTTGTGTGTTTTGTGTCATAGTAGTAGTAGTAGTAGTGTTTGTAATCTGTTTTCACCTTGATAGCCATTCGTAAGCAGTATTACCTTTGTATTTGTAGCGTGTTTGGGTATCTAGTATGTAATATTTGGAAGTTGTTAGGTCCCAGTCCTATTATTACACCACGGGTACTTGGGTATCATGTTGTGTTTACATATGGTAATAAATTTGTTGTCATCTTAAAGGGTGGTATTGTCATATATTTCAAAACGAAACTTAAGAGCTTAATCTGATTGTTTATTATTCCATGTTTATGCTTCCAATAAAATTAAATAGACCAAGTAAGTCAATATTCAATCAAAAAGAATATGATCTAGAAAACATGTTCTTACCATTTTGACATTAGACAACAAGGAACACAATGCATCTAAAACAACTTGACGTGGATGAATGAGCAAGCGATGTTGGTAGTGGGTAATGACTGGTCCCTTACCTGTCTCACAGTTGACTCCTGCCCATCCTGCCTCACAGTTACAGGTGTAAGAGTTGACTCCATCCACACACATCCCGTGGGCACCACATGGGCTGGACGCGCACTCATCGATGTCTAAAATACAAAACAGAACATTTGATGTTCATATTGTGTCTTTTTAATACGCTAATTAAGCAACGTTATGTTTTTCACCAAAATATCACTTATGTATAAGTCTGTTCTGAGCTACGTCCATGCCGAAAGCATGGGGGTTGATTCTGATATATATTACTGACAGTAATACCATAAGCCTATTATCGATTGATGTCGTTGTTAGTGTTCGTATACGATAAGTCAAATGCACAGAATATTGGTACGAAAGGGAAATGGACATTGCATTTCTCATTGCATTTCCCATACGATCTTATAAAGACACGGGCCTTCAAAAGTTCTTTCAATCATAAGATGTAATCATTTTGTACAAGGGCAGAGTCAATCTTCAAACACATGATCATAATTAGAAGTTTAGTAATATTGGAAACGCTCGATAAAATACTGCTAGTGACTGACGGCTAACAACACGGTTCCGTAAAGTCAAATGACAGAAATCGAAGTGATTTTGCCAGAATGCCCTAAACAAAAACCAGAGTATGTCGAAAATTATATATGTTTTGATTAAAATGTTAAAACTCTGCAATAACAAATCCTAACAACATTTCATACTATCCAACTACAGCTGCCAATCAAACCTACCATAAACCAACAAAGAAATGTGTGATTTGCTTGTGCCATGTTTATGTTTAGACAGATAGAAGTTAATCGATGAAAATTCTCTTACTTATCTCACAGTTGTCTCCTGTCCATCCTGCCTCACAGGTACAGCTGTAAGAGTTGACTCCATCCACACACGTCCCGTGGATACATGGGCGGGGCGCGCATTCATCAATGTCTGAAGTACAAAGAAAAGGATGCAGGAATGGTTGTATATAATATTCTTTATTTGCTTTACATTTTCGCAAATTCAAACAAACATGAATACATCAAAACGATTGATTGGTGTATGCTATGCAGCAACCCAAGGAAGTACTATTTGGGTATCAACGGGACAGCTGTAAGCATGCAGAATACAAAAAGTGTCACTATCAGATGACTATCAACTTGAAATGGTCAGAAATTGTCAACGATGTTGGTAGCTTACCTGTCTCACAGTTGACTCCTGTGTATCCTGCCTCACAGGTACAGCTGTACGAGTTGACTCCATCCACACACGTTCCGTGGGTACATGGGTTCGAGGCGCACTCATCACTAACTGATTCACACAAAACAAAAGGGGTACGGTGTTTAGTTTTGATGCACTTGAGAGTCTTGATCCCTATATTGTACATAGATCTAGTATGTTTTGAATGGTCTCTGAGAATCTCAATTCATCAGAAATATGTACCCTTGCTTTGCTTGACGAGCAAAACCTTACCAAACTAAAACTGACCTGTCACTGTTACAAAATCCAATAAATATTCCTTTTTTTGGGATGAGTGACTTTCAGCTATTTATGATATCATGGCTATCCTGTTGAAGGTTCAACCCCTGAGCTTCACGTAATGAAGTTTATCACCAACCGGCTTGTTCACAGAACGTCAATTCCCAGCCTGCTGGACAGGTACAGGTATAGACTCCAGTTCCCGGTGTTTCTTCAGCCATGGTGCCTCCATTCTGACATGTGTTAAATGAAGAGGCTGTGGAGAAGGTAGTAACAGCAACCATAAGTATAACAGACAATTCTTATACACACGTGCATGACAATTATCATATGGTTCATTTCCCTATACTTTACAACAATTGTAGCAGAATAACAACAAAATACGGGTGTGTGTATCAGAACTTTTAGATCTTGTACTTACCTGGGAAACCGCTCGGCCTAATCATCATGACTGTTTTCTTCAGTGAGTATCTGTAGCCCAGCCAATTTTTCCACACAATCCCCTGAGCGCTGGTGCAGCTAGAGCTAGAGCTACATCCGGTCAGATACTGTCCGTTTAACAAGGCCAGACCACAACTCGGCGGAAACCACCAGCCTGATGGTCCGAATGTAGCTCCACAGTTGACATCGTTACCGTCGTTATCTTGATCCTTTGTTGTAAACATTTTACCGTTGATGCTGTGATGTGTAATTGTGGGAGCCAAGTCGTCAGTTAAAGTCGGATCCCCGGTGAAGCCGCTGATTGTAACCGTGTATTTACTGGTTGAATCTCCCACAGAAAACGTGCCGTACCGCGCGAACTTAGTAGTTCCTTCCCAGTTCTCTAAATACACGTACAGCTCGTGCTGCTGCTGTGACGTTAGACTGTGTAAGTGTTCAAGTCCTATCCATAGTTCTCCGTTTACGTTACCGAATCCCTGCACGTACACGTCCCACGTGTTGTCGAACGACACCGACCCGTCCTGGCGCCGCTGTATGACCGTCCATCCACCGCCATCAGTGTCCATGTCACAGGACACTTGGAATGGCTGAGGGTGGCCGACATGGTAAGTACCGCTGGTCTGGATTCCCATGGCGGACAGGTCGGCACAGTTCTGTGGCGTAATGGTACCTGGAGAAGCCGGAATATGAGATTTCAAGACAGTCACAGTACACGATAATCTATCAAGAATGATGGAAGACAATTCATAGATAAACTGAACTTTAGCTTCCGGATTACATCAAAAGTGGGATCAAAGTTAAAAAGTGAAAAAAATGACATTCTGTTAAAAACTCCCAAGGTTCCCGTTAGCTTGCCTTGGTTACTTAAGGGTTAATGACCCGCCCCGAGGTGAATATGGTGTGATAAAGCCTTGTCAGTGCTATAACCACCGAATAAAGCCACAAAGTGAGCGCAGCGATCGAGGTGGCTTTATGAGGTGGTTATAGCAACTGACAAGGCTTTATCACACCATATTCACCGAGAAAGGGCGGGCCATTAACGCTATTATCATATAGCCTATCCAAACTGATGCAGTAAGTGACACAATGCACATGCTGAATAGAACATAGAACATAGTTCCATCATAGGAGTCACCTGAGGTCACTGGGTAGAGTTCACGTTAACTGGGTCAAAGGCAGGGAGCAGGTGTTCTTATGGGAGTCACCCGAGGTCAATGGAACACAACTTAAGTTATTTTTGGATTTTTAGAACTAGAGCCGTATTCTATTGGGTCACCTGAGGTCATATGCGGGTGATTAATTGGGTTGTTTAATGAATGTATGGATTGGGATGAATAAATACCCGGTTTTGACTCTATTTGTGACATTATGGCGTCATAAGGAATGTGGAATGGAGCCTTCTGATTGGTCAACGTCACCTGGCTATATGATAATGTTGGATAATACATTATGTGAACAGTTGCATACCTGTGTACGTGTCACAAGAGTCTCCCTCCCAGCCCGGATCACATGTACAGGTGAAGCCGTTTACTTGGTTCGTGCACGATTGGTGGAGATGAACGCAGGGGTCGGGAATACAGAATTCTGTGGAACAAGGGAAGAAGGGTTAGTGATATGCACAATCACACAGTGACTCGAGCATCATGGATAGATTTTGAAAACTATCAGCCATTTGAAGTAGCATCCTCTACTTTTCACCAGTGATGTGGTTCATTAATCTCCAAGCAGATCTTTTGGTGGCTGCAAAAGTATCCATTTGGACAGTATCCATTTGGCAGACAGAATCCGATACAGGCCGCCTGGGTGGCGGATTATTATTAGTACTTTATTATCTGGATGTCCAAGTTTCATCGATGGTTTTACCTATACTTATACTTATACATACTTGCTTATACTATATCAGATTAGTTGAACCTACCGCTCCGTTGGAAGTGATCAAATCTTGAGTTGGAATCCAGTGCTTGTCCGGCTGTGTTTTGGTTGTCTTCACTCAACATGCACCGTGGACCTCGGCTGTCCAGGTCAAAGGACAGACAGGAACCAACTGAGAGGCTTCCTTCTCCCAGCAGACATCGCAGTGCGCATGTCCGGGGACTCACAGTCGGTGGGGTGACAATAACGTCATCGTGGCCGCCTAGGGCCTGATCGGCGTGTTCTGAGAAGAAACCGACTATATCTGCAACACATAGACGTTTGAATTCGTAAATTAAAATTAGAAGACACTATGCTATTTTCGAATAAATGATAGAGATAATAAAATAATAAACATTTTGATATATTTTGATACGATCGTAAGTCTTATTTAGCAAAACGAATCCACGTATTTCTTGTGCATCACTATCAATAAGTATCCTACTGACGAATAAAGGAGGATCTACCATGATGCTCGAAACAGCAACCGTAGGTTCATGCCAAACGTGTATACGTTTAGTAAAATTGCAATAGACGTATCCCCTATGTATCTTTGATGTTAAATTTTGATCAATCTCTCATAATTATGTTGACGGTGTGTTCTCACCTTTCATCTCGTAATGGTCGAACTGACTGTTATAATCAAGTGCCGTCCCGGCTGTGTCCTTGTTATCTCTACTCAGCTGACATCTTCCGACAACCTTTCTGTAGTCAAACGACAAACACTCCCCCTCCGGTACATCAGTGGTTCCTTCCAGGCACTTCTGTGCACATTCTTCAGGAGTGATCCCGCCGATCAGCTCGTCATCATGGCTAGACAAGACTTTGTTTCGAATGTGCACAAACAGGTCTGTAAAATCTAAAAGTAATTCGTATTAGTATTCTACTAGCATTTACTGTATCCCTGCAGTTAATGCGCAACAGTGATACATCCTTGTGATAAATAACACACTATTTAAAACATGCACTTTGTGTGTCGTCGATTGATTTATTGATAAATGGTCAAATACATGTACTTTTTCCTATAACAATGTTGAAAGGTATGTAATAAATTATGTAAATGTGATCTTTCCCATTCGGGCACCCTTATGAAGCTCTCGGGCTTTTCTTTTCGTCTAAATGGAAGGTGATCGTACATCCTACAACCTCACTCCCGCTGCTGTACGGTAACAAAGCATTGAAAGAATAGGCAATGTAAAGCTATGTACGTGTAGAACTTTTTATATCGCTGCAATGACATTCTACTTGTACAACACGTTTGTGATTAATTTATGGCTTGATTGGTGTCAAAAATACGTGCGTACATTTCTGTATCAAATATGCTTTCCACTCACCTGCTGAAATCTCTGTGAATGCAGTAATGATCAACAACATGAAAACTGCTCCTCTTAGGCATCGGTAATTTTTTAGGTCATTTACTCCACAGGAACTTCCCATGGTAATTTCAGCCAAGATTACATCTATCCGCCGAAAAATACCAGGTTAAATACATGGAGGAAGTTTTGTTGCGCTGTTCCGCTAACTTTGGACTAACTTCCTCCTGTGGTCCGTGTAGTGCGCGTGCGCTTTGACACAGAGCAAACAGTGACGAGGTGAACTTCGTCAAACATTAACACAATCACCCACTTTGACATGAGTAAGCACCATGGGCCCCAATACTCCATATATGGAGAGGGCGGGAAATATAAAAATTAAAGAAAATAGACCGAAATGGAGTCACAAAATTACACGTACTAAGCTAGCTAGCATTCCAAACAATTACTTTGCATGTTTACTGGCACGAAAACATCAAATAAACAGTATTTTTCTCTCCTGTAACTGTTGTATAGAGTGCAATGTAAAGCATTTTGTAACTGTTCGGGTACCAAAATATAGCCTGGGTACCATCCTGGTTAGTTTACGTCCGCTCCTACAGTCGACTGTAGGAGCGGACGTAAACTAACCAGGATGGTACCCAGGCTAACCAAAATATGAGCATATTCTGATTAGCATATGCCCAGCATAGTGTGATCTTGTTTTCAAGTCAGAAAAAAATGAAGCGAGTGAATCGAGAAATTGTGTTGTTGTTGGCTTAGGCACATTCTAACTAAGCAAATCAAGTACGTGTACGAGTGCTTAATGTGTAATTTTACTCTACCGAGGTAAGGCACTAGTAACGTACTTTGCCTTGACCTACTTTCTGAGCTGTAATGTGTATGAGCCTATATTTTGTAGAAAATATCAACTTGGATACGGAAAAAATTACCACCAAATATAGCATTGCTTATACATGTACATTTCGTTGATATTCTTGTAAATACGTGTATTGAGTGCAATCTGTACTCGTGGAGAGTATAACTTGTTTGCATACATACATGTTGCTTCGTATGTCACAAGTGTACAAATGTCACCTCTGTATCTCTATTATATGAGCGCGTGTATCACACAACACTTTAGATTTATTCAAAAAAGACATTTAACAAACAATGGACTAATGCATGTATATCAGTTTAGGAAGAAACCTCAGCCACGGCCTGAAGTTCATTAGATATGCAAATACTTGACCTCCAGAAAATGCTCATTAACGACTTACTTGCGGAACAAAATCCTACCAAAGTACATTTACAATATAATGAATATACACATATTTGTAGTAGTAATATGAATGCATTATGATCAAGGCTCTTCAAAATTGTCAATCCAATGCAGAGCACACCTATATTTTACATACGCAGTCAAAGCATAAAAATACCAACATCTGGTAGTCATTTTATAAGGTGTGTGGAAGAAATTAGGTATAAAACTCCATCTATATGTTTCATTAAGCATTGTTATGTCACTCCTGTTATATATAAGATAAAATATTCAAACTTCGAAGGAACATAAACTAGATGTGAAAGTTGACATCCAAGCAAATACATCTGTTGACCACAGCATGGTTTCTTCGTTTCCACTTCATTCTTATTCATGAAGTAGTGAAGCGTACGGCTGACGAGAACAAAAAGAGGCAGTTTAGTACATATGAACAGAACAAAGTGCAGCATCAGATACTATTGATATATATGTTAGACTAGATGTGACACAGGTGGCATCCAAACAAATGTGGATATATCGAAAAGAAGGTAAACAAGTCGAAGCTTCATCTCCTTTAAGAATGGAAGGAAACAGGCATAATATATATACAGACTGTTACCTTGTGTGCTTGAATGATCCTGTCCAGGTTGGTTTTCAGTTGAGGAAAGGTCGGCCTGTCTTCTGGCAGAGTCGTCCAGCAGTCTTCCATCAAGGCGAAGCTGTGCAGGTATATTTACATGTATAGATAAAGAAGAAGTTATTCATGTTTTGGTAGCTACTTTCCTAATTCTTTTGCAATGCCCAGTGATACAAGTGGTAGAATTTTGCTTAGTAATTCCAACACATCTTATTTGAGATGTTACTATCTCTAAGGGCATACTTACAGTTCATCTGGGCAGTACAGCGGCTTCTCCAGCCGGCCGCCATCTTTGATCATGTCCATCATCCGTTTACCCTTCATCCCCCCGTATGGCAGATGTCCTACACGGTGGATGAAATGTGTTAAATCCAACACAAATACAAATGTGCATATTGATACGTCACGAAAAATGGAGAAAGCTTTTTGGATAGGGGCTTAGAGAAAGGTTTGGACCCCTTCCCTCTTTCCAATTACATCCTTGTTATGTGACAATGCTAAAATAGGAAAATGAAAAAAAAACGCCAATATATACCGAATATACACAATACATGTGCATCATCATTTCGGACTTAATTTTTCTATACAGGTGTTCCTGTCTTCCATATATTATGATTTTCATCCACAAATTCTAGACAGACATGTAGATATTAATATGTATATTAGAAATGTAAGTATTTATGCATACCCATGGACATAATCTCCCACAGGAGAACACCGAATGACCAGCTACAGAATAGAAAACAAGTTAGGAATCTCTTAGGGAATAATGTGTACCTTACTTTCGCGCACACACTCTCACAAAAGTACGAATTCTGAAATTTCCAAGCATGATTGAAGTTGAAGTTGAAAGTGATACTATTTTGTAGATGTCTAAAATAAATGCACCGCAAGATAATAGATATAAATCAGTATCATTTCTAGTACATTCCAAAAACTAAGAGGTGGTTATTGAAAGTGTGATGAAAGAATCCTCATACTCACACGTCACTCTGAGTTGTGTACACGTTGTAGAACAGTGACTCATAGGCCATCCACCGCAACGGGAGCTTGGTCTGAGATAGATATACAATGACAGCTGTGATTCAATCATCATATAAAGTTGTAGAACACTTATGTCTTGTCAAAAATAGTACATTGTCATACTTGAAGGGAGCTACATACTGCACAGCCCTTACCTGTGTAGTCTTTACGTACTCTTCACTTTCATAGATGTCCCTGGACAGTCCAAAATCAGACACTTTGGCCACCAAGTTCTTTCCAAGTAGGATGTTCCTTGCTGCCAGGTCACGGTGGACACACTGTGGGGAGGATTTCGTAGCAAGGGTTGGCTAAATCACATCATTATTTGTATTGTCACTCAGATGCTGCTAAGATAAAAAAAAGGTGCATGAAGGATGTGTGCTTTCATTGTGTGACAATATCAATCATTGCAAAGCCATAGATGATAGTTAAGAAGACTTATAACCACTTAACTATCAAGTGAGTACCATGAGTGTACAACTTCGTTTTAGGTCGCCACCAACATAGAAAACAACACATAAAACAACACGCAAAGCAACAATTTAAATTAATGATTGAATCATAAACAAATGATCAAAGGTTTCTATTCCAAATAAATAAAAGACTGATAGGACTGTTATAAAAATAAATATTACAAAATAATTATTTTGTATTATGTAAAAGACATTATGAGTGTTTGGATACGTTACCTGCACGGCTGCAAGGTGGCTCATTCCAGCTGATACATCGATGCCAAACTGGATGAGCTGCTCTAAGTCAATAACTGGAGTAGGCTGATTTTGGTACTCCGAGTTAGCAATAGAGTTGGTCTTCAGCCAGTCCCTCAGACAGCCGTTAGGGGCGTACTCAACAACTATCATCAACGGTCCTAAAACATGGATGGTAATATGGATTTATCCAAAGGACAAGGATCTACATTTTGATTGAGTAGTCATGACTGTATTGGCCAACAGGTATAGATATTGAGAATTACAATTAATCAGTTGTCTTTACTGTATATTCCTGCCCGAATAATAGCCAAATGGGCTACATGCACATGTGTGGTCTAGAGGTCATAAAAGATGGAGTAATGAACACTGTAACACGGATACAGAAGAAATAAACTTTGATTGCAGTGAATATTAGATATATAACAAGTTACATCCTGGTCATATCATAGGATGAGCATCCATAGCAAATGGACTATGTAGTTCATCAAGAAGATACACCCTGTCTTCCCAATACCTACCTCCTTTTGTGCACGCTCCAACCAGGGAGATGATGTTGTCATGACGACCAACAGTCACCAGGATCTCCAGTTCACCCAGAAGGTCTTTCTTGTCACTATCAGATGCAGAGTCTGGCATATTTTTGGATGTACAGACATTTGTCAAAACCAAAACAATGATTCTTGTAACTTAAAAAAAGTGTACTTGTGAGAAAATCAGTTAGTTTCCACTTTGATTTGACTGGACCAGAAAGCATTGCAAAGACCGACTGATTTTTTTACCTCTTAAAGTCTTGACAGCCACAGTGGTTGTCACCCGTCGGTTACGGACTTCTCCGAGGCGAACCTCCCCGAACTGCCCCCTGCCGAGCCGCCTGCCTAGGCTCAGACTGGACCGAGGGATTTCCCAGAAGTTGTGGGTCGAGATCGGTGAATCCGACGAAATCTGTAACGACAAACCAAACGTTGCAGCGTGTGTGGAGGCAGTAATGGATTGAATTGAAAACAGGACAACAAGCAAAGAAAGAATTACATCAGATGCTGAATGATCTGTAACATACCTGTATTTCTGAACCGTTCAGTTTCTGTAGCAATGCTTTAAGTCGCGCTCTTGGTCCAACCATAGGGACAAGGTCCTTCATCATCGCGTTATCAAGATGGCGCAACGCCTCTCCATCAACGTCGTTCTCTGTACACGAAACAAACGTTCTTAACATTCAATTCAATATAATGGATTTATCAGTAATCACACAATTCGTGCCAATACATAGGTGTGTTGCATATATTGTTTAATCTCAATGTCACTTATTGAGATCTATCAAAAATACTTCCATGAATTATGTTTTAATTGGCGATGTGGATTCTGAGGAAAAAACGTCAGTCGTATCATAATGATTCTAACCATACCCCTAAAAGCCCTCGCACACTCCTGCAGGCCATTGTCTATTAGAAACTTTTGTACGTCTTCGACTGTGGTGAGGTTTGATAGTCCAGATATCTGAGGAAACAAAATTGTATAGAATTTAGCACAGAATGACTTATGGATATATATAAACAAAACTTCATTGATATAGTACTAATTACATGTAGCATGATTGAAATATTACATTTAAAGATAAGTGTATTTGACGGCTGTCCCGACAGAGTGAGTCAGTGAGAGTGATTGAAATCTCGTAGTTATAGTAGCTCCTGTATCTTCGACGAATAATTCTATCACGGGAAAATACTTACAGATGTATCTCTGGAATTTGCCGGATCGAATGACTCGTTTGTAGCACCACCTGCCACTGGCTGATCAGTGATGTCCTTCAGTGGTACGTCTCTTCGTTTGGGAACGTTTTTATTTGTCCTCCTGCAAATACAAAATGTTTGTCAACATGCATCACGATTCTGTCGGTATAATAGCTGTTACTAATAGTTGGCCCACCGCAGCTACTTACAGGCTAGTTATAACATATTTATCTCAATTCACAGCTTCATAACATAAACACAATATTCATCATAAGAGAAATGTTATATTACACTACATTCGTCTTAGGTTATGACAAATCCTTATGGTATATGAATCTGATCCTGCAAGGTAAAAATTACAGCTGAAGAAAGATCGTAATAATCACATAGGTACGTTACTCTAAGCTATACGTTACCTAAATGCAGAAATATTGTCGAGATCTGCAGTTCTTGTAGTATATTAGATCTACGAAAATTAAAAGGTATAGATGTTACAGCACGTACCTGCAGTAGAAAACGACCGCTCCAACTGCACCAATGGCAAAGACACCTGCTACAACACCCACGATGATCCCTACCACTGGAACACCAGGTACATTTTGTTCTGGAGTACGATACAGAACACAGTTTGTTAAAACATATGCGGGTTTGGTGCCTGATAGGCAATATAAGAAAAGTAAATAATAATATGTAATAGACTTTGAGCAAGCATACATGTTAATGGTGACTTAGCCAAATAAGTTTTATGCAGACATGAAAAAACACTGGTAGGCATCGTGTCATACGATTCTATGGCTAGTTAATGATAAAGTATCCAAATATGTAGTACATTAAGGTCTAATGGCTAACCTGTACACCATGTACCATTCCCTTGGTATCCTGAATCACACGAACAGTTAAAGGATCCTTCCATGTTGGAGCAGGTTGCGTGGATGTGGCAGTTGTCAGCATTGGTATAGCATTCATCTACATCTGTAAAGTTCGAGATATATATTTGAATTTGAATAATTATGAGTATAAGACATATCTTGATAAATAGCTTATGTACAAATACAACTGACACAGAGCTTTAAGTCATGAACAACCTCAACACAAAAAGCTTTCATGTAATATATAAATGTTCCTGATTTTTTATGATGCAGAAATATTTAATAATGTTTGTATAAAATTGCATCACTTTCATACCTGAACATGTAACTCCATCCCCCATGTATCCAGTATTACAGGTACAGATGAAGGACCCGTCAGTGTTGGTACACATAGCCAGCTGGGTGTGGCAGTTGTCGGTACCGGCAGTGCACTCGTTGATGTCTGCAAAGACGGTATGCAGGTAGTAAAACGAATTGAGGTAATTTGGAAGATATGAGTTGTAGGCATAAGTTACACTTGTATACCACTATACAGTATACAAGAAGTAAAACCATACCTGTACACGTAACTCCATCCCCAGTGTATCCTGTATCACAGGTACAGATATAGGACCCATCAGTGTTGGTACATGTAGCCTGGGTGTGGCAGTTGTTGGTACCAGCAGTGCACTCATTGATGTCTGTAAAGAAGATATGCTGGTAGTAAAAGGAATGGTGATGATGATGTGATTTGGTGAATATGACTTGAAGGCACGACTTAAACAAAGAATTATACCGCAGGAGGTAAAACAATGCTGTGCTCAAACGGAGAAAAGCATACCTGAACATGTAACTCCATCTCCAGTGTATCCTGTATTGCAGGTACAGTTGTGGGACCCCACAGTGTTGGTACATGTAGCCTGGATGTCACAGTTGTCAGTGCCGGTAGTGCACTCGTCTATGTCTGTAAAGTTAAAAATGTTTGACTAGGATTGACTCTAAAGACAAAGTAGGTTGGTCAATAGTTGCAAAACATAGTTCTTCACTATAGTTTAGAAACTCACCTGTATCACAATCAGTCCCCTCCCATCCAGTATCGCAGGTACAGCTGTACCGGTCCAGTTCACTTGTACATGTCCCATGCACACAGGGGGCAGCAGCACAGAAGTCAATTTCTGCATACAGGCAACAATAATAAACGTAAGGATCTGTTCAAATTCTATCAACTAGATCATTCACAGTATAGCAGGTTCCTCGTCGCAAATAACCGAGTTCCAACATAATTCTATAGTAGCAGCAGAAAACGGTCACAATCATTTTGGCTTAAATAGTAAACGGAAATATATGAATGATTTACCCCATAGAGTTTCTTTCCAAATATAGATTTGAAGTGTTGGGAGTGTCAGTACACAGGGGATATTTCACGTCCAACTAAGTCATATAACCCAGCCATAATCATAACATTTGCTATACATGCAATATAGCAAGTAAGACATCTAGTTTTTTATTAAGTTCATACTATGTAGTTGGTTTAACTTCTGTGATTGCTTGATTGATGTAGTTTATGATCAGATGTCAGACATACCTTTTCGTTGATAGTAGTCGAACCTGCCAGTCTTGTCGTCAGTCAGTGACACATTGGCAGTGTCTTTGCTGTCCACACTAAGAACGCACTTGTTGTAGTTATTGTCCATGTCAAACGACCTGCACCTCCCGGCCGCTACATTACCGTACCCCTGGATACAGTGTAGCGCACAGACGGCGGGGTCACTTACGTAGGGGATTGTTGCATCGTTATAGCCATCTAAGCCTTTGTTGTCGTAGAAATCGAAGAACTGGAGAATATCTGTTCAAAACACACAAATTTGTATCATGTGATACACAGGAAAATGTGTATGATGAAGAACATCCCATTCAAAGAGTAACAAACATATGAAGATCAGCTGTAAACGTTGGTGGAGGTTGAATGTCAAAAGTTTTAAACGAAACATTCTTTTTCGCCAGAAAGTATACAGGTATCTGCTAAATGATATGAGGGTCGAAGAGAAACCTACCTTTCTTGTGATAGTAGTCGAATCTAGTTATCGGACTTCCTTGTATATGATCCGAGGGGTTTGTGACTTTGCTAGCCGTGCTTAGGATACAGGCTCCATCTCCGTCGTTGTCGTAGTCGAAAGACAGACATGTTCCAATGGGAACTGTTGTAGTTCCCTGCAGACATAACGTGGCACATTTGGCCGGAGTGATTCCCCGTATAACCTCATCGTCATGTCTGTTGAGAGCATAGCCATCGTCACGGTCAAAGAAGTCCAGTGGAATCGAACCTGTAGTGCATGTTTCATGAAGACTTAAGAGTTCAGTAGAATGTAACTAAACACATCATGGTACAGTGTTCACTACTGCTGTCGATAGAAGGACATGGGAATGTAAACTTGATGACAGATGTGCCAGCGTAGGCACAGGAAGAACTAACGTAGATATTAGGGACATATATTGGACGTGGTATGGTTCTGCAATTGTCCACCCTAGCTAATTATAAGTTCTTGCAATCTAAGTATGATAGTTGCAAACTCAGTACTACAGAAAACTCACCTTCTGAGAGGGCGACCATGCAAGAGAGGACTAGTCCAAACACCAGCGCGTGAATGTGCATGTCAGTTGTAGAAGGGGTGTTTCGCTGTGGCACTGATATGTCTAGGCTGTCTGTATCAACTACATAGTATGAGGAGCACCGACTTGGGCCAAGATTAGATCCAACGTCCACGATTCCCACAGGTATACTCATTCGAGTCCTAAGGTCATGCAAAATGGCCGCCAATGGTGTTATCGGGTATGGCAAATAATACAGACCGCAACTTGGGGTTGGTTAATCATTGACTACAAATGAACGTCTACTGTTAATGCAGCATGGGAACAGATTATTTCAAACACGTACAGTTGCTACAATTTCCCCATCCCCTAACATTTAGAACGACACCAAAAGACACATTTTTCACACATTATGTGCTGAATTCGAAGACGCGTACGTCAAACCTCATGATAGTAATCCAAGTAGTGGTACAAGTTGATCAGACAGTAGTCGTATGCTGCTTTACGCAACTTCTGTGACCCGACCCGGTGCATGTTATTAGCATTCGGACAAATAATAAAGAATCCATTCATTTACATTCTTTATTCCTCCATCCAGGACAGCCTATTGAAATAAAATACATTCATGCATGGACATACAATTTTATACAGAATTATTCTTTCACATTACACATTTCTAGAATAAAAGCTTACTAGCAAAGCAAAACTTTCCAACCATCAGAACTGATTACTAGTTTATCACGCTGTATGTGCGTCTCTCTCACTGGAGGACCAGCCCAACAACTGAGTCCTTAAATACCCACGAGACAAGTCAGTATGAATGACACTGTTTTCAGTATAAACTGTCGAAACGTAAGCCATTTTACATAAAATATCTTTCTCATGGCAAATGGTTAGAATAAATGTTCCAAACTATCATCATAACTGGGCAGCCATCCAGCCTGATCATAATACATTGTATTAATCTCTCTCATTGCACGTGCTCAACAAGTCGAGTCAAAGCATTTCGGGTCAGTACATAGGTCAGTTGCAAATTTCTAGCATAAAAGCTTACTAGATATCAAATCTCAAAGCTGACCAACCATCTGAACTGGTTACTGGTATATCAAGCTCTCACTCGCTGGTGTGCGCTAACAACCATTTGTTACGAGAAAGATATTTTCCTGTAAAATGGCTTGCGTTTCGATAGTTCAAACTGAAAACAGCGAACAGAGTGCCATTTATACTGACTTATCTTGTGTCTAGTAAGGACCCAGTTGTTGGGTTGGCCCTCCAGTGAGAGCCTGATATACCAGTAACCAGTTCAGATGGTTGGTTCAATGTATTATGATCAGGCTGGATGGCTGTCCAGTTATGATGATAGTTTGGAACATTTATTCTAACCATTTGCCATGAGAAAGATATTTTATGTAAAATGGCTTACGTTTCGACAGTTTATACTTAAAACAGTGTCATTCATACTGACTTGTCTCGTGGGTATTTAAGGACTCAGTTGTTGGGCTGGTCCTCCAGTGAGAGAGACGCACATACAGCGTGATAAACTAGTAATCAGTTCTGATGGTTGGAAAGTTTTGCTTTGCTAGTAAGCTTTTATTCTAGAAATGTGTAATGTGAAAGAATAATTCTGTATAAAATTGTATGTCCATGCATGTATGTATTTTATTTCAAGCAAGAGGCTCTCCTGGATGGAGGAATAAAGAATGGAAATGAATCTGTTGAAGCCCGGTGGTGAGGTCACGGGTTCGTCCCGGCGTGTTTTTCTCAGCAGGGCCCGGGGTGATCTTAAGTTTGAGTTAAAATCAATTCGGCGACCGCACGGGGTCAAAAATCGGCTGGCAGCCGTCGGGAACCCCGCCAGTCTCCGAGAAGGTACCGTGCGATAGTGCCCAAAAACAGCTCGCAAACGCGCCACACGGGCCCCGATTTTGAATTGTGACCTGGGCTTCTTGTGGAAGGAACCAACAAAGTCAAGTTCAAGGAGAAACTTGCAGAATCGTCAAAGGTCACACAAACCTTTGTTGTTTCTACATGCTGGCAACAACGTAAGTTCAGACATTTTCTCTCAGAAGTACCTTTATAGACTTATGTAACATCCAAAGAACAGAATTGTGTTCGTGCTTTTAGTCCTTAAAAAGGACTCTGGCTGCAGTGAAGCACAAAAAGTATGACACGAGAAGAATGTAGTAACGGTTGACTTGGCAGGAAATGTTCGATAACATAAACTACTAGACTTCAATACATGATTGATTTTCCAAATTTAAAGTTGCAGATATGACTTTGTAACATGTACCTGGGCCATTCTACATGGTTTGATAATGTTACTAGTACTGTAAAAACTAGTATTACAGAAAAATATTTAAAAAGTCTGCTAATCTGTTCCAACCTTTGTTTTGTAGCGGCTAAGCAGTCTAGAGTACTTTATACAAACTGCTGGGAAGGTCACGGTACAGCACTTTCTTGTTCTTACCCTGGGTAAGGACCGGGCCTCTGCCCATGATTTCTAGACGCCGTTTAATACTAATTATTAATTAATATATCCCTGAAGTAACAGGAACTTAGGATTTCAGGAACTTGTCTGTACATGGAGGTGGCTGGAAAGAGTAGAAATTGGCCAAATAGACAGGGGAGTTGGCCCGCTAGAGAGTACACCACCCGGAGCCTGGTAGAGGCTATATCGGAATCGTAGATTTCGGCAAAAAGGTCAAGAGAGTCAGAAAAGACAAACAAAGACACCTGAGAGGAGGAAATGCATCAATAGTGAAATACAGACCACAATTGCCTTTTTGTCCATGACACTGAAATTCCCACACAACAAGAGGCATATTGTATTACTAGTATAGGCAGTATCCTAAACTATAGCTACTATCACCCCCTCGTTTGTATTTACTTTTCATAATAAAGTAAAAGAGCTTTTAAACTGTTTTAGATTAGGCTGTTAGTCCCCATACAAAACGTTACTAACACACAATCATTATGCACTGTAAACAAAATTTCCCCAGTACTAAGCGCTTGTACAAACTCTAAAGAACATTTAAGCAGTCAAAGCACTCTCTTGTTACCGTTTTCGGCTTCTATGTTTAGTACTTAAACATATCAGATCAAGTGAACGCACAGAGGTGAGAGGTATATTCTGAACAATGGGTAAAAGAGACTTTAAAAAAAAGTCGAGACGGTGAACGATATCGCACTCCAAACAACTGACGAAGTTATCCTGAGAAGACAATTGCAAGGTTTTGTCTGTTTGAACCATTTATAGGCTCCGACTGTTCTTTGTACTTTTATATCAGCAGTTTTTATGCTCAAAAGACGGTGTCCCATCAATAGCAGCCAAAGGACTGACGTGTTACTAGTATCAGGACATTACATCAAGTAATGCAATACAAATCGTATCGTAGCACAACGTAAATAGTAATTTCAGCCGTTAAAATAATAATTTTACATCATAACATAAAACATATAAATATAAACTTATATATGTAAAATCACCATCATTTCCGAGTACATACTAACTTATGTTGCGGTTGTACTATAGTTATTAGTGACACTATTATTAGTAAAACTAGCTATAGCATGACATTATATTGAAAATTCAGTACAGGTGATGATTTTACATGTTTAGCAGGCGGATCATAAAAGGTAGAGCACTGTTTCGGTAGCGTAGTAGGAACAGCCCCTTCCCCTCTCAATTTCTAGTACAGGGTAAGATTTATAATGTGAAATGAAAATAGTATGAAACTAATAGTGAATCATGGTCCTTATTATTATTGCAGCTTTCTCTTCAAAGGCAAGAATGGCGGGTCGACATACGGAAAGGGCAGTGACCGCATCAAAACGCTGCTTCTTTGGTATCGTCATGGTGCTTGTTGTTGGGAGCTTGCTTCTCTTCGGTGTTCAGGTACACTACACTACAAATCACATGGTTAATGTAATTACCAGATATACGTTATTTCTTCTCTTCCTAATCTCAGCAACAAATTTCATTAAAAGTTAGAAAGCAGTTAGTACAGGGTCTGTTCCATCAAGAATCGTCATTTACCATGCTCAATCACGCGTATTCAGAACCGTACATGGGGCAAATCTACGTCCATGGACAAGCGGAGACTAT